GCCAAATCACCCTCCATCACCACCGATAGAAGATAAGAATACAAGTGTCAATTAACCAAGTTTGATTTGAAACGAACCAAATTAAAATCAATTTGAACAGATTGAAAGATGCGGATATTGAATTGGACTGATCCAAAATGATCCGAATCTTCATTGCATTGGATTGGACCTGGCCTATCTGTAAAGGATGCACATAGGACTGAACTGGATTGGGCCAAATCTGGTTCAATTGACACCCCTGCGCAGAGCATAGAGAGAGAAGAGGGTAGTAATTAGTGGGTGCAATTTGAGCCGAGTTAGGTTGGGTTGAGGTCAACCCAATGTTATTGGGTTGGGTTTGAGTTGGTCGTTCTTAACTACTTTGTATCTATTAAATCTACTTTGATTTTCTTTTCTTTTTTTTTTTGTAATGTATTTAGTAAATTTTATTAGGAAATGCTATTCAATTTCGCAATTACCATTGCTAAGAATTCTCTGTTTGTCAATTAATTTGTCAATACTAAACAGAAAGAGAAAAAAAAGATTAATAATAACCACACAATTAATGTATGTGTTTGGAGGTGGGTTAAGGGTGATAAGTAAAGTTAACATGCCTGAATAAGCCTGACAAGACTCTCGTTTGTCAATCATAAAAACAAAACTAAGTATCAATCAGAACAAGTTTAGTTGCTAAACAATCAATAATTAAAGTGATGTCAATAACTTGCACAATAACCAGAAAAAAACTTAACCAAAGGTCCACAACTATTATAGACACTTTATCTCCATTGTTTTATACAACAGAAAAAATTACTTTGGATTCCACAAAAAAAATAACTAATTGCAAAGAAAAATCACCACCTCTGCATATATTATTTTGTAGAAACAAAGAAAACAAATAGAGAGTTGAGATAAAAAAGATAAGAATCAATAGTGAATCATCAAAAGCGGAACCAAAACACTCGTATTTATTAGTGATCTTATTGCATATAGAAGAACAATAAGAGAAAATTYACACTAGGAGAAGGAACTTGCCTKTATTTTGAGGAGGAAGAATGAGAGCAAGGTCAAAGTAATTCCTTGTTTCCTTCAATGCCAACATCTGTTTCAAGTATGCATGGGGTGAATGATGATCATCTAAAGTATAACAATGTTTGGAATATTAGCAATTTTATGCCAATCTGGACCTCGCTCCTTCTCACATTGTATCTTTAACTGGGGACATTCATGGATCGTTAATGATTGAAGTGAGTGGAGGCGTTGAATTGCCATCGGAAGATTCTGAAGATTTGGATTATCGTAAAGGATGAGCATTCGAAGCGATACCAAACAGTCGATCCACTCTGGCAAACACTCCAGTTTAGGACAATCCCAAATTGTCAATTCTTGAAGTTTGGTGAGGGGTTGCATGCTCTCTGGCAAACGTTCCAGATCAGATGCACTCCTAATAGACAATTCTTTAAGGGCTGTGGGGTACGATATCGAAATATGCCAAAACGTTTGACAAGCCATAACAGACAAGAATTTCAGAGTAGTAAGATGTGGCAACGCATTTGACATTGTCAACTTGGGGCAATGTGAGATATACAAGTATTCAAGGCGAGGTAATACTTGCGGCCGTCTTTCCCCCTGGAACTGCAAGTCACAAAACAACAGCCATTCTTCCAAATTGGCCATAAAATATAATCGAAATCTAGTCAATAATGGAAATAACACTGTTTCCATGCCATCAGTATTATCATTACCATGCAAGTACAACTCCTTGCTCATTTGTGTAATTGCATCCAGTGCTATTATGTCGAGTACTTTAAGACGAGGCAATTCCCCCAGAGCTGGCAAATATCTCAACTTGGGGCAACGTGAGATATACAAGTATTCAAGGCGAGGTAATACTTGCGGTCGTCTTTCCCCCTGAAATTGCAAGTCACCAAACAACAGCCATTCTTCCAAATTGGCCATTTTTTCTAATGTAAAATTGGTCAATGACGGAAATGCCACTGTTGCCCTGCTGCCTTCATTAATGCAATCATCAGAACCATACAACAATTCATTACCCATGTGGGTAACTGCGTCTAGCCCTTGAATAGTGAGCACTTTGAGCTTGTGCAATTTTCCCAAAGGCGGGAGAGATTCCATTTTTTTGCAATTCACTAATGTTAGTGTAACAAGGTTTGGTAGTAGTGCCATCCAGCTTGGAATCTCTGGTCTTGGATATCCGTGTACCCTTAATTTTTTCAAATTCGGATGTGGTTCAAGGCATTCTATCACACCCTCCACCCCCACCTCTTCTTCTCCCAAATTATCGTCTTCCCAACGTAATTCCAACCCATATAGGTTTGGCTTATTCTTCAAGTCGGCTGTCTCTGCTTCACTTGCACTCCTCACACTTTCCAGTTTTTCAATCCTAATCTGACCTCGGAGGTTATTTAGGTCCTTTAACTCTGTTATTGTCCTACCTATCTCTTTACCAACAATAAACCTTGTCAACGTTTGTAGCCCTGTTAGTTGCCCCATCCTTAATGGCATCTTATTCACCTTTGTATGTCCATTAAATTCGAGATGCCTGAGGTTAACCATCTTTCTCAAGTCTCGTGGCAGCTCTGCAAAGCGATGAGCATCCAAGAGCTTTAAGGTTTGTAGATTTTGGAGGGAAGTAAAGGTTGTTGGAAGTTTCCTTATAGAAGTGGTAGAGAGGTCTAAATACCTTAGATGTTTAAGCTGGCTGATGGAAATGGGGAGCGTCTTAATAGTTGTATCATGTAAATCAAGCACACGTAATCCCTTAAATCTTAAGGAACAACCACGTGGTAGAGTAGGCTCCCAACATTGGTGCATAAGAAGCAATGTTCGTAGATTCTGTGCCTTGTGGAGCGCTGTGAAAACTTCTACCTTCCTTTCATTATCATAAGGAAAGTAAATTGATGCATGATAAATCCTTTTATGAATACTTTCCCTCCAATTATCATTCCCAACATCCATAGTCATGCATTCTTTCCCTCCAATGGATCCAGCAAGATCGTGCACTAGGTCGTGCATCTTACATTCCTTAATATTTCCATATTCATCTTTCACGACATCTTGAAATAAACACCTCCTTATAAAGTCATTGAAATACTCATTTCCAACGTCCTCTACCTCTTTCCCTACAGATGAAAACTCAGCTGGAATAAAGCCATGCGCAATCCATAACTGAATTAGAGTATTCTTTGGAATTTTGTAGTCTTTAGGAAACAATGCACAAAAAGCAAAACATTGCTTCATGGGTGATGGGAGACTATTGTAACTCAATTTCAGGGCAGGTAAGATTCCACTTTCATCTTCTTCGATTAAACTACTCCTGTGGTCTCTAACTGACAACCATTCTTTCTCTTCTTTCTTAGACCTCAATAGACCTCCTAGAGCTTTTACCGCTAACGGTACTCCTCCATACTTATTCACGATCTCCTTTCCTATAGCCACCRGATTTGGATTAGCCTCTTCTTCGCCTCTGTCCCTAAAAGCTCTTTCCCTGAATAAAGACCAACAGCCTTCCTCAGATAAAACCCCTAGAGAGTATGGTTCCACTGTGCCCATTATCTCTGCCACTCCGTAACTGCGACTAGTTACTATGATTTTGCTTCCTCTTGCTCCGCACATCAAATATTTTCTCAATCTATCCCATTTCTCATGATCCTCATTCCATACATCATCTAGAACGAGTAAAAATAGCTTCCCCCGCAACACCTCTTGTAGGCGATGCTGTAATGGATCCATGTCTGAGATGTCACATTTAGCACCAGCAGTAGCAGATTCTATAATTGATCTTACAAGCTTCTTTACATCAAAATCATCAGAAACACAAATCCACATTCGTAGGTTAAAGTACCCTTTTACTCTGTCATCATTGTATACTAGCTGAGCAATTGTTGTCTTGCCTAGTCCCCCCATGCCAACGATGGGGATGACTATGATTGAAAAATCATTAGCTTCGTCACCACTGCTGATTAGCATTTTTACAATCTTCTCTTTATCTTCATCTCTTCCATAAACTTCTGATTCAATCACAAAGGAATCAGTCTCTCGTCCCTCTGTATTTTCATCTCTTCTGTTCACTTCAGACTCCCTCAAATTAAACTGAGACCTTTCAGCTGCAATTCTGTCTATTTTTTCCAAAACCCTCTTAATTTTATGACCCATTCTAGAGCGTAAGAAGATCTTGCTTACCTTTGTAATCGCGCGGTTGCCCATTTTGCGACGAAGAGCTTCTGTCAGGAACTCGTCCAATACGTCTTCTGCACCGTAAGCCGCATCCTTGAGACTCTGGAGCCAAATTTTCACAGCTGGGTTGTTGATTTGCTGCTCCTCTGCATCTTGAAGCACGGCTTGAATTGTTGATAACCTCCTGCTGAGAATTTCAAGCTCTGAATTGACACCATATATTAATGCGATCTCACGGCCGATCAGAGAGCTCAAGCTCCATAAAAGGTTCTCCACAATAGCAGAAACAACTGCCCCTGCCGCCATCAATCCTCTCTTAGGACAGGAACGTCAAAGAAATGAAAATAGTGATTGTACTAGAATGAAGGATACGATCTCTCTGGTGAAAACAATGTCTGGGTGCTTTCATAGGAATGAAACAAAGAAGAAATGTGATGATAATTACCAGGAAGCCGTGGATACAGCTCAGCATACCACTTTGATTTCTAGGTTGATTAATTCTTAAGTCAATCATTTGAATAAATAATTAATGGTCCCGATATAAATTATTGTCAGTATTCCAATTAATTTCGTGCCAATTGGGTGAGTTGGTACAGTGGCTGGCTGTAGGAAAAGTCAAAGAAAAGATTCACATGTTTGGCCACCGACAGAAAATGATCGCAACACAATGGAAAGTTTTGGATATCAGTTGACTCCAAGTGAACGAATTTAGTATTTGATTAATAATAAATGAAAGCAGGTTAGTTAGTAGGAGTGAGGGTCCTAAATGTGAATAATCCAAATGTGGAAGACATGGAAATTTCTTGTGATCCAAACTTTTTTTTGATACCCAGAACCAACCTCAGGCCCAAACTTYTTTCTTTTTTTTATTTTTTTATTTTTGGGTAAATTTTTTAAATATCCCCTGAAGTTTGATAATTGTAATTATCTCCTCTGCACTTCACTTTTTGAAATAGTTGCATGTATATCCTTTTATTGCAATTCTTTAAAAGGAGGCACGAAAATGTTCAAAATGCCCATGTAGTTATTTTGACCAAAATATTTATGTTCCAAGCTTTGTTTAATGAATTTTTACCCTAAAYCTTTTTTCCTGAAATTGATCTGTTTTTCAAATTTGCCCTTCATATCAATTGCTCAAATGTAAGCTACAACTTTAAATTTTCTTTTCTTTTTGTTTTCATAAAGTTTTTATTGTTTTTGTTTTCTGTAGAAACCAGCTTCAATATAACTGTATTGGTATTTTAGACATTTTCTTAGCTAAGTTTAGAGGATTTTAACAGAGGRAATCTACTTACAACTGTATTAAAAAATTCAGGGAAAGTGATTACAATTATCAAATCACAATTGGTTGCATAGGTGAAAAATATAAGAAAAGTGTTCCAAACCGAATCAAAGTTTGGTTCGATTTGGAAATTTCCCTAAATTACTGTTTATGGTTTTGGTTTAATTTAATTCTTATTTTATAATACTGATATGAAAGTAGATGAACACAAAATATAAGAAAAGGACTTGAGAAAGATGCGGTATTATTTGGGCCACTCTTCAAAGAATGGTTTGGTCTACTTTGCTTTCATGCTAAAATGGATTTTATTTGGTCCAAGAATTTGTCAGACTATAATTTATTGGTTTGCTTTGAGATTTTCTCCAAACGGCTTTGAACTGGACCATGAATACTATTCAAGAGAACTGTGTAACACTCTCATTTCAACAAAGAAGTGGGGTAGTTGAGATTTTGAGAAAGAAATACGGAGGAAGCTGCAAATCACTAGTYCACGAGGACTTAGACTCTAAAACTGACCACTCTTGTTAATAATTTGAACAATTACTTTTGAGATGATCAAACTAATTTAAAAATAATATTATTTGAAATTAAGAGTAAAACGAGAAAAGGCTAATTATAGTTGTTGTTTGGTAATTGAACTGAAGTTAGGTAAGTCAGAGTGATAACCAGTTCAAAGATTCTTGCAAAATTTGTTTTCGTTTCTATTGTATTCTTCAAGGCAGCACCATCACTCAATATGGGTGTTTAATTTTTATTCTTTCTTTTTTTTTTATTTTATTTTTACATTGTCTTTTAAATCCATGTCCGAATACTTCTTGGTGAAAGAGACCAAATGCAGCAAATATATCGATGGGTCGAGCAGATCTAACAAACCTAAACCAACCTGACCTGACCCTATTGATGATTTTGTGTAGATTTATGAGTTAGCTTTGTTGATTATTGAGTCTTATGTAGTGCCTTTTTTTAAGTCTTTTAATTTATTGAGTTTTTATGTTTAGCCACCATAAAAGGCATACTTGTCTTTGTATATATTYTTTTACTTTAAGTATAAATAATAGCGGGAGGGTGGCTAGATTCAATTATTGCATATATAAGTAATTTTATACRCGAAATTCATATAAAATTAAAATTTTTAAGTTTTTTTGTTAATTTTTTAAATAAATAGATTTGGCCTGATGCATGACTCAACCTGGCCCAAGGCTCAGCCCATGGGCCAGCTCAGCCCACTGCACGACATGGGTTTGTCCAGGCTTGAGCCATGGGTTGTGCCAAACTAACCCCTAAAATTTTGACCAGGGAGGACAGCACGGCCCATGACGGCCCATGGCCCACACTTTGGGTGGGCTGCCCACATGCCAGACCATGACAACCCGACATGTTCCACTTTACACCTCTAGGAGTAATTAGAATGAATGGCCTGATTTAACAGAAAACTAAAAAATAATTAAAATAAAAGAATGGTAAATGGGTCAAATAAATCAATGGTTTAACCATCCAGATTAATAAATCATTAATTAATTTAATGGTTTTTGACCAGARACTAAATTTAAGGTAAAAAAACCAATACTTGAACAATCCAACCATTCAAATAAACGGTGGTTCTAAAATATTATAATAAACAACCAATCACAAACCAAACCAACCTGGAACTATACATGGCTATATATATATATATGTGAGCATATCTGAGTGGCTAATAAAATATAAGTGTTTCAGTATTAATAATGCTCATCCATGTGATGTCTGTTAGTGCCTTAGTGGCAACCACTGATCATCGAGCACCAAGTTTAATTACATTAATGGTTTTATTTTTGTTTCTTCTTGATTTGTGGTAGTGAAAGCCAGTGCCGCAAACGGATCGATTCGAATTCAGGTATGGAAAGAATCAAGTATTTTTTGTCGACCATTTCATTATTTTATATATATAATACAAGAGTAAACAACTTTTTTATATTTTAACTTTTGAAATAATTAATAACTGTTTATGTTTTATACAATAATTTCAATACTTTATGAAAATAACAATAATTAATTTTATTTATATTAGTAGTCTAATTTGTAATAAATAACAATAATTTAATCTCTAATAACTATTGAAATTTTATAGTAAAAATATATAAAAATTAAAAATGAATATAGAACAAAAATATAATAAATAACTAGAAAACAAATCAATGATTATAAAAAACAAAGTATATACTGAAAATATATATTAAATTAATCAATAAATAGTGTAATCTCCAATAATAATTTAATATCTAATAAATATTAGTCAATATAGAAAAGATATTGAAAATACAATTAAATATTAATTATAGTATATATAAATATATACTAGATATAGATAGAGATTTTAAAACTATTCTTAAAAATTATTATTTTTTTAAAATTATTAATTGATATAAGTTATATAATATTTATATTATTATTGCAATAATAATTGTAATTATTATTCTATTTTTTAATATCTATTAAAAAATATTTTTTGAAAGTTGTTACATACTTTTATTATTTTGAAGCTCCAATAACTCAATGTTATTTAAACTATTTTTCATTTTATAAATCATATTTAAATTTTTTATATTTTATACTCATATTATCAAACATTATTAAATCTTTTATAACTATTTTTGTATTTTAATTAATCTTTAAAATTATCACTTAATTTCGATGCCTAATAGATTTTTGTTATTTAAATAATATTTAAAATGAGATTTAGTTGTTATTTTTTCAATATGTGAAACATTTAAAATTTAATCATTTAATATATTTTTCATTGGTTAAATAATTGCTTTACTTAAATTTTAAAAATATTATAATTAATACTTTTATTATTTAACTTTGTTATTAATTTCCTAAAACATAAAATTGTTATTAATTTGAACATATATTATATACGAAGACTATTATAGTTATTTTTCTATTTTCAAGAAATTTTTTAAATTTAATACTTAATTTTGTTATTTGAAATATTTAAAATTTAGTTATGTTGAATGTTTCGTTATTTCATATATTTAAGTAGCATTTAATATCTTTTGTTATTTGAGTTTTATTTGTTTTAAACTTATAACATAATATTAAACATTTTGTTATGTAATTATTTAGATAAATTTATTTAAAGTTTTAAATTATTATTTAGTTATTAAATTGAATAATCCATGGAATTAAAATCTATATTGTTATTACAGAATTTTGTAAAAATATAAAATTATTTATAATCCTAATATTAGTGAATCTATTATAATATTTTTTTTATTTTTCATAAATATTTTAAAGTTATTACATAATTTCATTATAATATTTAAATAATTCTTAAAATAATGATTGTTTGTATATAATGATTGTTTGTAAAAATAACATGCAATAAAATAAAATAAAAAAATTCAAAAAAAAAGATGAAGAGAAGATATACTTCCTTATATTAGTTTAAGTGTATAGATGTCATTATTATAAAATTAATAAAACAAATAATATATAAATCCAATTAAAATTAATATATGTATGTATGTATATCAAATCCAAAAGGGGGTTATCCAAATCTAGCAAAATAGGATCAGATTTGAATTCAAATTGGATCATGATCTGATCCATTTCACCCCTATTTGTGCAACTACTTCCAAGTGTTTTAGATTATATGATAGGGCTGCAAACCATCCATACCGAGTTGTTTGAATTTGATCTCATCAGTTGTGATTTGAATTCAACCAATTTATAATTAAATCTAATTCACCTTGGAGCAATATGGTAAATTCACCTCATGTGGAATAGTAATGACTACCTAGCTCAAGTAGGTCAATGGGTCAGGTTTGAATTGGGTCCAAGAAGAATCAAAATCAACTTGGCAAGATTCAAAACCAATCCAAGCTATTCTCAGGACAATCGGGCCTGACCCGATGGACCCTATTATAATAAACCTATTAAATTCAAGTCTGAATGAGTTTGTGGCTGGGTGGAACTGGTTTTGTTCTAATAATAATTGGGACAATATATTAGGAACTGGATCTGTTGGGTCAAATCCAACCCA